TTGGCTCAAGACAGTGTTGACAATAATTTTACTGTCGTCGCACACCTTAACAATGGCAAGCTTAAATTTATTACATTAACCGATCGTGACGGTGATTTCACTGAAATTTCAGATCAGTGCTTTAAAATCAATGGTAAAGAAACTGAGTTCCCTCAACATTTTAACGGTATTCATGGTTGGTGTTTATTCTACACCATCTGGTTAAATTCGGAATATGTCATTGAAATTATGTGCACTCAGGCTTTGAAGATTTGCAATGTTAAAGTATATGGTTTCTACCTAAGCAAAACGGGTGGAATCAGAAAGTGCGTACCGATAACTGCAAAAACCGGCACATGCAATCGCTCTTCAGAAATTTGCTCGGGTATATTTAGTTTAGAGTCTCCCTTAACGACAGGCTATTTTTTTGATTTGACCTTGAAATTAAAAGAGATTCCAACTCAGTTACCATCTCGTTGCTTGAAATGCGCTGGTGCTGCTGAACAACTTGAATTAGGCCAGGAGTTCACTGTTAAAATACCAAACAGTAAGGCCGATATTGTTTTCGTTGTCGATCTTGACATTAATTTGACTGTGCTTCGCAACTTGGTTGCGCCTGCAATATTGGAGGTACGTGACTCGCTAAAAACACGTGGTTTCACTAATGTGCAAATAGGAGTAATTGCTTATAATGAGTCTCAACTTTATCCAGCTGTGTTAACTAGTGACGGTGGAAAAATTAATTATCAAGGCAATTTAGACAATGTTCGACTTAATTGCCCAAAGAACATTTGCTTACACTGCGTCTCACAGGAGGTGGCGGATCCGAAGGTTGTCGAAGTATTCAAGCGCATTGAATCAGTCTTCAGAAGTATCGTACCACAATCAGACGAAAAGGCGTTCAGATTAGCACTCAATTATCCATTCCGTGCCGGATCTGCAAAGAGTATTGTTGGGGTCCGTAGCAGTACTTTGGACTTCGTCAATTTGGTAAGAACTTATATAAAAATTTAAAGATAAAAAATACGACAATAAATAAATTGTTTCGTTTTAATTTTTAGTTCAAATTGGTACGAGCTCACTTAACCGATGCAGCCACAAATTTAAATAGGGCTTTGTTACACCTGATCGGTCCAGTTAATGACCAATCTGTGGACCACATTCCTAAAGAGAAACTAGTCGGTAAGAAAAATAAACAATTAGTTAACAAAAATTTTGTGACTTAACGAAACCACGATGAAAGTAAAACATTTTACAAATTGTTTTGATACCACGTCTTGAATCTAACCTAAAACTAATAATGGAAATGATAATAGTAGACAAGATACACCAATAAAATAAGAGGAAAAAGTATATTCTGTCCATATCTTAAATTTTCTAATTCAAACTTTGAAACCAAAAATGTACTTTAGCTTAACACTCAATCTCTGCGAAATATTAGAACGTCAATATACAGAAAAAGTCGCTATGCGAATAGTGTATCATTGGTTTCTATAGTATCTACATATTCAGAATAATATTCTATGAACCAATAAAATGAAAAGATCACTTATAGTCAATTAGTGTTTTATCCAAACTATTTAACAAATGGTGTTTTTGATTTTGTCGTATGTGAAGTATTTAACGAAGATTTCGATTCAAAAAGTTTCCTTAAAAGCTATCTACGAATTATAAATATATGACTAGAATAATAAAATCTCATTTTAGGTTTAACTCTCGTTGATTGCTACATTAGACGGAAAAGATGCCAAAAACGTTAAAACTGCAATTCGGAAATGATATTGGCATCGATTTTGTTCTCAACAATGGTGGTTGGTATTTCACAACAGAAAACTTCGATCAACTGAAACATGAAAAGGCTCTTAACCAAGTGGTAAACACGTTAGCGATACACTTTTTAGGACAGAAATAATTAGCCAGTGTGAATGTGAAGTGGCACACGGTTTGCATGCCCAGCATCGGTGTGTATTTGTGTATTAAATCGTCCAATTTTTGCCGACCAAAAGGTCAAGGCGAACTAGATTGATGATTACATTTAAACTCAATCAATATCTACAAATGAAAACAATACAACTAAAAATACTGATTTTAATAAAAATAGAAGAACCAAAGCAAAAATTAATTAATTAATTCCCACGAATTTACAGCAATTAACCTCTACGAAGTCAACCGGAAAATCGAAAACCATTTATATTGTAGTTTATAGGACTAAGAACCGAGACTGATTACAGTCACTTTGACAGAAATTGTAATTAATAATATGATTTTAATAACCCTCGTTTAGAAATTCAAAAATCGAGGAAAGTTCTATTTTATAATAAAACATGAGGGAAGGGCCAAGTTCAGATGTCACTGAACATTTATACTCTCGCAAAGTCAAATGGTATACTCGTTTGAGACTTCTTTATATATTTTACTTCATTTGCATAGTGGAAATGGAAAGAATCAGATCGAATTTAAAATGGTGTTATGGGAAATAGGCGTGGTTGTAATCCGATTTCGCCCATTTTCGTACTATAACAAGGAATACGAGAAGAATATTATGTACCGAATTTGGTTGAAATCGGTTAAGCAGATCCCAAGAAATGGGTTATCACCTAAAAGTGGGCGGTGCCAAGCCCACTGTCTAATTTTGAACGTGGTTCCTTTAAAGTCATCTTATACCATCACAAAGATACAATTTAATGCCTCTGGGGTGTGTAGTGCTTGAGTTATCGCACTTTAGTAGTTTTTAACAGTACCGTTATACGGGGAGTGGGCGGGGTATCACCGATTTCACCCATTTTCACACTGTCGATAGAAGTACTAAACATGTTCGTTCGATATGTAGATTAAACTTATTAGGGGCGGACCACGCCACTTTAAAAATTGTATCTGCAAACGCCTCACTAATGTGATCCTGTATACCAAATAACAGTCTTGTATCTTAATGCGGAGCTTAGTTATGGCGATTTATTTGTTTTTGATTAATGGCGATTTGGGGCGTGGAAGTGGTCCGATTACGCCCATTAGCAATACCAACTGTCTTACGGTACCAAGAAATATGTGTACCAAGTTTCTAGAGATATCTTAATTTACTTAAGTTACAGCTTGCACAGACGGACGGACGACAAGAGTCACCGATTCAACTCGTCTCTTCATATATTACATATATACCAGTATAAGTATGACTCTATATCTACTCATTTAGTTTTAGGTGATACAAACAACCGTTAAGTGATACCAAATAACAGTCTTGTATCTTAATGCGGAGCTTAGTTATGGCGATTTATTTGTTTTTGATTAATGGCGATTTGGGGCGTGGAAGTGGTGCGATTACGCCCATCAGCAATACCAACTCTTACGGTACCAGAAATATGTGTATCAAGTTTCATAAGAATATCTCAATTTTACTTAAGTTACAGCTTGCCAGACGACGGACGGACAGAGAGTCACGCGGATTCAACTCGTCTCTTCATATATTACTATATACCAGTAATACAAGTAGACCCTATATCTAACTCATTTAGTTTTAGGTGATACAAACAACCCGTTAAGTGAACAAAACTATTATACTCTGTGTATGTTGTATAAAATCTTCGGTTACTCCTGAACTTAAACTCTTACTTGTTATTATTATTTCTTTTATTCCCGATATCTCTGTATATATAGGAATTAGTCCCTCAGTGAGGGATGTAGTGCAGGTTCGCCTCCGCGCGGTGCATCCTGGGTAACGCCAAATGACCTGCGGCCTTTACGGCCTTTTTGAACTCCTGATCTGACCTTTGCTCGACATGGACATAGCCTGGACATTAGATGGATTCGGTTGAACCCTTGGCTGGTGGTCGTGGTATTCTGTCACCTGAGTATCAAGGGTGATACCCTGCAGAAATGGCTGATGGGCAACGCCAAGGTCGCTCCGTCCCGTAAAACCATGGCGTCCCGAGTACGTCCCCTCCCATCATCATAGTTTGTTGGTATGTGTCATGAGATGAACTCCTTTGCGCTGGTCGGCTCTGAACGCATTTCTATGGGCGTGCGTCAAACTCGCCTTGGCCTCGTAATTAGAGACAAACCTTGGGATCCATAAAAGGCGACTCTTTTCCGGGAGGCGGATAGCGGTCTCTTGAGTGGGGGACCCAATCAAAATGGATACGAACAAGTAAGGAAGGCAAGTTCGAATGTAACTGGAACATATTATACTCGCAAAGTTCAAATGGTATACTCGTTTGAGATTTTTGGGATTGACTGATATTCGGATTAGAAGGTCAATATAGGCACGGGTCCACAATTAGTCTTAGGGGTTTGAACAGTTTTGGTTCGATTTAGACAATTTTCCGCAGGTGATACTTTAATCTAGATTATTTATGCAAAGTTTCTACCCCGATATAATCATTGTACCGATTTGCATAGTGGAAAGTGAAAGAATTCAGATGGAATTGAAAATGGTGTTTTACATGGGAAGAAGCCTGGTTGTAGTCCGATTTCGCGCCATTTTCGCACTAGACAGAAACATAAAAGAAACGTTTTATGCACCGAATTAGGTTGAAATCGTGGCAAATCCAAGATTATGGTTTTCAGCTACTAAAGGGCCTTACCATCCACAGTTTCTTCTAACGGTTCCTATAAGCCCAATTTATACCATCTCAGAGATAAAATTACAGTCTCTGGCGTGTTTAGTGCTTGATTTATCGCGCTTTTAGTGGGTTTTAACACGCACAGTTATATGGAGTGGCGGATACCCACCCGATCAACTATTTTCACACCGTCAATAGAAGTGCTAAAACATTTCCTCAGCGACATTTTGTTGTTATAGCATTAGCGGTTTAGGAAGATATGCACATTAAACCTCATTATGGCGGGACCACGCCCACTTTTAAAAAGTTCTAACTGCAGAATCCCTCCTAATGTGATCCTGTGTACCAAA